CAATCCCACTCCTGGGCATATATCTAGATAAAAATACAATTCAGAAAGACACATGCACCCCAATGTCCACAGCAGCATTATTTACAATAGCCAAGACATGGAAGCAACCCAAATGTCCATTGTCAGATGACTGGATAAAGAAGCTGTGGCATATTTATACAATGGAATACTACTCAGCCATAAAAAAGAATGAAATAATGCCATTTGCAGCAACATGGATGGACCTAGAGATTATCATTAGTTTATTATTGTTGTTGTTGTTGTTATTATTATTATTAGTGAAAAGGTAAGTCAGAGAATGACAAATATCATACGATATCACTTATATTTGGAATCCAAAAAATGATACAAATTAACTTATTTACAAAGCAGGAATAGACTCACAGATATGGAAAACAAACTTATGGTTACCAAAGGGAAAAGGGGTGGGAGAGATACATTAGGAGTTTGGGATTAACATATATACACTACTGTGCATAAAACAGATAAACAACAAGGACCCACTATATAGCACAGGGAACTATATTTAATATCTTATAATAACATACCATGGAAAAGAATCTGAAAAAGACTGTGTGTGCATATATATACACATATATATATAAAAAACTGAATCACTTTGCTATACACTAGAAACTGACATAACATTATAAATCAACTATAATTTTAAAAAAAATACAAAGAGAAGAAAACAAGAAGCAGCCGCCTTCTGGGGGCAGGACAAATGCCCTCCAAAGGACTCAGCACCCAGCACTCCTGCCATTCAGCCATGGGCCTGCTTCACCTACTTATACAGCTTGCCTGGGCACCAAGGCATTGAGGCTGTGGCCCCTGTTGTGGGGAAGATGTGCAGAGGGTGAGATTTAAGTGTCAATTGGCCGCCCCCTAGCTCCTGACATTGGGCATCCAGTCTTTGTTCCTTTTTTGTAAAGTGGAGCTAATATCACCTACCTCCATTATGTTGTGCACATGAAAAAAGATAATTTCACATTTAGCATGGTGCTTAGTGCATAATGCATCTTTCGTTAGTGATGGCTGCTGACATCAGAATCATTGTAAGAAAATGTTCCCTTGCAGGGCCAGAGAAGGCCATAATGTTGCTCCTCAGAGAAAGACAAGGCACAGCTGAACACAGGTGTAAGCTGTGAGTGACTTGGCCCATCCAAGTCACACAGTCCTGAGCTGCTGTCAATGCCCTTGATCAGCTGTGTTCTGCTCTGATGGCGTTCTTTACCTGTACCACCAACGCAGGACTGCTGGTCTCCTACACACACACACACACACACACACACAGGTATGTTAATGCAGGGATGAGCATATTTCAATTAAACCAGCTTACCTGCTTTCAACCTATTTTACCACAGTTTTCCTTTCATTCAACTACTTCAAACAATACCCAAACCATCATGTGCTTCCATGGAAGCTAAGGCTTATTACAAATCCAAAGGAAGTAGCCTCCCACGAATGGGTGGCACAATTTTCAACATCTCTGAGTCTGGGGAGGAGTGTGAGACTGTGGGACTATCCACCCTCAGCCTGTCAGACAGCAGTTTAGATCCAGAAGCTCATCCAACTCTACGTAGGACTGAGCCATTTTCCTGAGCATGAATTAAACAGATGGCAGCCCCAGATCTGCTTTTCCAGAACAGCAGGGGAACAGCTTCAGTGCTGTGATTTTGCTAAGTGAAGTGAGTGAAGTTTTGTGCTCCTGTACCAGACAGGAAGCACTGGCCATCCCCTCTGTCCACGGTCCTGACTGACCACAACATCTATAACAAAGTTCCCTCTACAGGACTAACTTATTTGATAGAGCAGACAGTGTTGAGGACAGTTGTATTCTCCAATAATAGCCTATACATATGTGTACATTATTTTATTTTTCTAAGCCCAAGAAAGAAAAGCTATGCGTTCCTTCCTAGAACTCTTAGGACCAATGCCCTGTCAAATTCCCTTGGGGAAAAAGCAGGTTGTTAAAGACTTAGCACTTAGCATGTGGACCAAGATCCTGTCCATCAGAATGTTCACGTACAAGAAACCTATGTGACTCAGGATCAGACTCACAAACATAGAAAACAAACTTATGGTTACCAGGGAGGACAGGGGTAAGGTGGAGGGATAAACTGGAAGTTTGGGATTATTAGATACATGCTAATATATGTAAAATAGATAAATAACAAGGTCCTACTGGACAGCACAGGGAACTATATTCAAAATCTTGTAATAGCCTATAATGAAAAAGAACATGAAAAAATATATATAAATATATATACGGATAACTGAATCACTATGCTGTACACCAGAAACTAACACAACATTGTAAACCAACTATATTTCAATTAATAAATAAATAATTTTTTTAAAAGACAATGAAAAAAAAAAACAAGAAATGTAAGAGACAACTAGGGACATTGCTCAAAGTTTTTCTTTAAAGGAAAGTTGCTTTTATAAAACGTGATCATTATTCTCTTTAAAGAAGCATAGTAATTAATCGAATTGCCATTTTGCTGGAAAGACAGTCCTCTGGGGTCATCTGTTGAGTTCTGCTGCCGAGCATCTATGCACCCTACTCCAGATGCCCCTCTGAAGAGCCACCCCACTACTTCCTCAGCGGGAACCTGCGATGCCAGGTCAGCGGATGTACGCAGACCCAAGCCAAGTACTGCCTTGGTGACTCGGCTCAGGGCTCGTGGCCCCAGTCAGAACAAAGAAGTTCCACAATGAGACTTACACTGGGGCTTATGGGAAAGAAGCATGTGCTCCCCGCTGGACTTGAAGAGGGAAGACATGGAGTGGGGCTACTACCAGCATCTTCTGACGGTCAGGATGTGTTTGAGGGTGGAAGACAGCCAAATGAGAGACTGACGGAGAAAGAGAAGTGACACCCGTGAAGACACCTCCATCACACGGCCCCAAATTCCCATTTTGATGAAGCCCATTTGACTTGGATTTCTCTCGTGTGTAACAGAAAAGGTCTAAAGGTTCCCTGGACATGAAAAGGCAGATCTAGGAAGGGGCTGACATCTCGACACTCTCCACTAAGCCACATGGCTTCACAGGAAAGCTCAGCACAAAGACATTCTGCACCATTCCTCCAATACCAGCAGGGCCCAAACCTACCCTTGCCCGAAGCTCTTTCACCAAGAGTGAACGAATCCGCTGTGGCAAATCTAAGCCGAAGCAGGTCTCAGAGTGGAGGGCAGGTTAAACAGGAAAGAGCTCTCATAGGGAAAGCAAATGCAGAGGAAATGAAAAAAAGCCAGAGTTGGGGGAAATTTAATGAAGAGAGAGAAATTAAGGGGAGAGGGTGAGTGCATGGGTGTCTCTCAGGGAGGCCTGGTCTGAGGAGGAGGGGCTTATTGAAACCCCTGTCGGCACCCTCTTTAATTCTTACCTGCACACTGTCCGTTTTTAGTTTTCTCAGGCTCTGGCTCTGTGGCCTTATTTTAACTGGCATTTTGGGCAAAAGCAGTTAAAATATTTCCCTAGGGGTAACGTAAAGTACATCTATCCAGGAAAATCAAAATTAAAGTCTTGTAAATTTATTCTGGGATAAAAGAAGAGGCTTCTATTTGTTTCAAATTCAGTTTAAAAATGCCACTGCTTTCAAGGGAGGATTGTAGACTAGCAGGACAGCTTTGAAGCCGTGTTCTCCAGTCATTCAGCATTTTGTCTGGAAGAAGCCGCCACCTTAGACGACTCAACTCATCACACCCCTGTAACCAAACATCCTGGAGGCTGGAGCAGACATGTGGATGCCAGGCGTCCCTCACCTCTGAGGTCTCCACGTGCATGAGGACTTTGCATGTGTTTTGGCAAGAAAAGGAGGATTTTGTTCTGTCTGTTTTGATGGGAACGCGGGTACCAGTGGAGACAGAGGAGGAGTGCAGGGCACGCAGGGGAGGGAGAGACCATGCCTGTTTCCCCACAGGACTGACTGTGGCCACAAGCAGGATGCGTCAGGGTTGGGGCCCAGGTGGAGCTGAGCGGCTGAGAGAGCTGTCACCTACAGCACCCGTCAGATCTCCCATGGCGGCTGCCACCAGCATTCCTGAGCAGGTGAGAAGCAGCAAAGGTGACAGGAGGATGTGCTAAAAGGTTGGCACACAGCAGACTCCCATTTGGAGGCCAGCTTGCAGGGACAAGGACAGACTTGCACACTAGAGGCTCCCCCTTCAATTTCCCTGGTAGGCAAATTTTGACCTTAGGAAGGAAAACTGAACCACAGAGTCTAGAATTAGAGTTCCAACAACTCCTTTTGTATTCTTTAGACATGAAGCCTAAGGCATTTCCGTTATACCATGAAAGTCTTCCCAAAAGCCACAAATATGCACACAAACAAAGAAATGTACATGAAAAATTTACTTCCTCACTCAGAGCAAGCAACTGAGACATATCCAGATGGGTTATCCTCGAAGAATCTCGGAGTCCAGGATAATGGATGAATTCAGTCTGCCACTGATAAGACACAGTTTGCCCAGTGAGCACCACCATTAATCCAAGGATGCTCTGGATACACAAGTTAATTCAATATCAACTTAATTAATGTCATTAAGAAAGTTACTCAATGCATTCTGAAGGAGAATAGAAAAGATGTTCAGATCATCCATCTACAAAAGAGCCTGCCTCATTAGTGCAGATGAGAACTGATTATATCTCTAGTCCGCTCCTTGGAACAAATTTAATACATTCTTGAGCTGCACCACTGCCTCTCCCAAAGGGAGCATAATTGTTTACATGGGGTCCCGTCTATTTATACCTACATGTTCTATTCTATAGAATATTCTTGGAAGTGGCTTCTAGGAAAACAGTTCCGTTTATTTTTTGATTATTCCACCATATCAGAGTTTCTTTTTCTTTCGCACAAAACCCACATGCTTTGACACTTACAGACGGATCAGCACGTTCATTCAACACCAGCATCCTCACCTCATTTAGTCAGAGTAAGTTGCATGCCCCGAAGCAAAGCAACACCCCTAAACCTGAAAACAAGCCCCACTCACCGAGCGTGAGAGAAGCCGTCATAATTTGATGAGTGATGCTGGAAAGGACCTTCTTTCTGATTGCCAGACTTTAAGTAACAGGATTTAATTTCCCCTGCAAAATTTCAGCAAAGAATATTACACAATTATTTGTATATGATCATGTCAGCTTGTACTTTTTTTCAGTTAGAGGGAACTCATTTTAGACTATTTTAATACCAACTGTTGGTAATCGAGGTCCATTCTTTGTTCTTCTCCATAGCATGTGTAACCTGAGATAATGTTGATGTATGTCTCTGATAATACGCCTAGACAAGTTTGACTCAGTTCCTTAATTGCTCTTGACTGATTAATTTGCACCATTGCTAATTCACTTCTAAATAATCTTTTCAATGCATTGTTTGTATGATCTCTTCATGTGTCACCTGAAACTAACACTGTAAATCAATTACACTTCAATTAAAAAAAAAAGTTTTTAAACTCTTCATGTGTTAGAATGATCTGTGAATGCCGTAACAGGGTGGGTTTTTTGTTTTTTGGTTTTTTGGGATTTTTGGTATCCTGTGCAAAAAGAGGCTTATTAAGTGTGTGATTTTGACCAGGTGGGACCACCCGTACCTTTGAGTTTGCAGATGAATAGCGGCATAGCGGCTGACTGATGTGTCAGCCCAGTGATGAGAAAAAGCAAGAGACGGAATTAATCTGCAGAGTTAAATTAGCCTGCTAACATGGTTCAAGGTATTGAGGTGTGAAATCAGTTCACTTTGTAAATGTGAACGGTCTCTCCCCAGAAGAGGTTTTAGGAGTACCTTCTTCAGGTGACATGGGAGCGTAATTAACCGTGTCTGTTACCAGCAGTGGCAACGCAGTCTGCAGTGCTGGACCTCAACTTGAAGGCTGTCTCACCAAGAGAGACATTCACAATGACAACCACAGCCTGTCTGGAGGCTTCCATAGAAGTACTAATGCTCTTCTTTGTAGTGTAAAAGTCACCATGTATTTCCACAGATGACAAAGCACTTCAAACTATAAACTACTGGTCTATAGACAGCATAACCTGTAATTTGTTGTCCAAACTAGGATCCTTTTGAGAGTAAAATAACAAGCATTCATTGATCTATAAGGGACTTAACCCAAGACCCATCCTAGAAAAACTAGGACCTATGCCGCTTATCCACAGAACCTTGAACTTGGCACTTAATGATTCTTTTCTTTTCTTTCTCTTTCTTTCTTTCTTTCTTTTATTTTAACTATTTTTTATAATGATAGCATTATAAATTTATAATAATAGCATTAAAAATTTTTTTTAAATTTATAATAATAGTGTTACAATACATCAAGGTCATATTTTCAGCATATATTCAATAAATATTTACTAGGTGCTAGACATCACCTTCCTGAAGTTTACAACTGTGAGGGGGAAAATGTCATTAATCAAATTATTATATCAGTAAACAATTAGAAGCTGTAATACTCTCAGAGAAGGAAAAGGATAGGCCATTTAGAGAGGAAAAAAGCAGAGGAACCTGACTAAGCCTGGGGAGTCCAGAAAGAGTTTTCCTGAAGAACTTTCTTTAGAATTGAGATCTGAAGGATAAATAGCACAATGTGGGCATAGGGACATGGCATGTGCAAAGGCCCTGAGGAAGGAGGGCACACACTGTGTTCTAAGAACATTACGTGTGAGAAATGAGGGGTAGGAAGGGATAAATTGGGAGTCTGAGATTTGCAGATACTAGTATATATAAAATAGATAAACAAGTTCATAGTGTATAGCACAGAGAACTATATTCAATATCTTGTAGTAACCTACGGTGAAAAAGAATGTGAAAATGAATATATGTATGTTTGTCTATGACTAAAGCACTGAGCTGTACACCAGAAATTGACACAACATTGTAAACTGACTACACTTCAATAAAAATATATATACACAAAAAGAATTAAGTCTTCCTGTTTCAAAGCCCCTTGCAGGTATCCCCTACTTTTCGAAAGTTCACTTTACAACACTTCAATTTTAAAAACCTTTGTTTGCTAACCCAAAGAAATCCCAAAATGACTTTTGCTTCTACAAAATCAGGCTAGAAATGAAAACAGCATTCAGTGTCTGTTTTGCAGGGCGCTGTTACAGAGCCAGTGCACACCCCACGCAGTGAGAGCAGCATCCCCAAGCTCCCTCCCCGGGATCTACACCCAGCATCACGGCGTCAAGTCGCTACAGCTTTGAACTGTCCAGGAGCACCTGTGTCTTACACTGGTTTATTTTGTGCATCCTTAGGTAACCGCTTCTTTGCTTTACATCATTCTAGTTTAGGGAAGGTTTCATAGGACCGCTCTCCTTTCGGATAGCAGGGAAAACTGTCCTCAGGTTAAGAGACCACGTGGGACTTTGCGAAAGCTGCCAGCCTCACCCTGTCTTCCTCGTGAGTACAGAGCTCTAAAGACTTACCATGTTCATCAATGAAGACATGCATAGCATCCACAGACATCTCATCTTGCACCGACGTTTCAGGCCCACTGATGACTTGCAACACAGAGCTATCTTGTTGGGAAGTTACCCTGTAGATTATCTGTCTTTGTCTGTTGCCCTGGAAACTTAACATATACACACGTTTCAAAAGCAATCCGGAACACCTCCTTATCCTTAACAAAGCATTAAAAGAAGCAGCCAGTCAATGAGGCTGTTTCACTCTCCGCACCAACATGAAACTAAGTAAGTATGTTATCCTTACAGGGTCGGGATCTTGGCGGGCTCAGTGAGTCCGGGGCTGGTACTGGTGTGGTCTTGACTTTGTATGTCTGATTTTCCTTGCTTAGCACTGTGTCCACTGGGCTTTTCACTTTCCAGGATTTCCTCCTTTTTCTCCTGGGAACGATCATCTGAAAAACATGGTTTTATGTGTTAACATAATATGAAACAAGAGATCAGTGAGAAAATACTTGAAAATAAGGTACCAAAACTGAAGCAAGACTAGAGAGAAAAATCTAAACTGCTCCTGTGAATTCAGAATATAGTAAATAAATTTTCACTTTACTAATTAGACTTTTGAAAGTGCATATATATCAGAGACACGTTATTTAAGACATCCACAAAGACCACCTACTAGTACGGACTGAAGGACTTGAAATAACTTCAGTGACCACTGCTTACCCAGCTGAAAACAACCCATGTAGATGACTTAGGCCTGAAAGGTTCATAACTCATATGTGGACAGCATCTGATGAAAAAATTTACATAAATACCCCGGCTATTTTGCAGTCGGGTTCCATTTACCATTTTAAAACTTTATCAATCTTTCCTTCTCCATCTCAGAATCTAAATTCTCCAGCTAACGGTAGAATCGGTCTCTTCATGAAGCAGCTGCTCATTCAATCTGGCTGAATGCGAACAACCAAATGCTTGGTCCCATGGAGGACTCAGTGAGATCCAACCCCTGCTTCTTACGCTAAGAATATTTAAAGGTGAGCAAGCATTCCAAGATCGATAGGTACATATTGAGGTTTTGAATTTTTAGAATCTTCTCTAAATAATGGACAAAAACAAGGGTCTTAGTTTACACCATTATGCAAAGCGGAATCTGCCCTGGAAGGTCAGCCTTTCTTGCCTGAGGACAAACCCCAGCTGCCACTTTTAAGGTCACTGTGTCCACTGTATTCCCACGACCAATATACCCAGAGCTGTCTCCTTCTGCGTCAATTTTTGTCTGAACGCAGCTGAATAGTTTGAACCTACAGGCTCTTTCAAGACATGCCGTTCAGAAAGACCACCAAGGTCGGCCTCAGCCTCCAAAAAGTGAAATCATACTAGCCTCCCTGCTTTATAAATCACATCATTACGTATAAAACAAAGTTGTTCATCCTTAGACTCCGAGTAATCAGAGAAACATTGCTGGCTTCTCTGGGACTCCTGAAGGTAAATATTCCCAGTGCATCTGTGAAACAGAATTTCTTTGGTACAAAAATGTTTGCATGTCATTTGACAGCTTGTCAAGATAGAAGTTTTCACAGTTTTCAAGAAACGCACTGGTGAGAAAGTGCTATTATAACAAATAGCTTTAGCCAGTAATCATGTTGCATAAAAATTTCAGGGAGGTACGTTTAGACAGCTCAACCTCCTCAAACTACACATATGTGGACTCATTTGTTCCCATCTCTTTTAATATCTTAGTCTTTTCTTCTCTTAAATGGGCACATTACTTATGTGAACCTACAGGTTATATTTTTCTTTTTCCCTTTAAAAATACACATTTAACTGAAAAAGATTATGAAAAGGAATATATACATGTATATGTATGACTGAACTATTATGCTGCACTCCAGAAATTGATACAACATTGTAAACTGACTATACTTCAATTTAAAAAAGAGAAAAAATACACATTTATAGGAATTTTTTTGTTTCTAAAAATAGTACACATTAATGGCATATAATTTAAAACTAGAGAAAAGGAAAAGAATTTAAATTACTCTTAACCCCACCATGCTGATACCAGAACCAATTTGATACATGATACACCAGTAATTTTTTCTATGCATCATTCTTTTTTTCAAAAATTAAGTCATAATACAGACGTAGCTTTATAACTGCTATATTTATCTTAAAGTATTATAAATATTTAATGACATTAGATACTCTTCTACATCATCCAAAAATAGAAGTTAGATAATACTACATTAATATAGTATAATTTATTAAACTAGACCCCTATTGTTATACATTTAGGTTGCTTCAATTTTTTTATACTACAGACAATTCTTCAAAAATCATCTCCACATGCATTCATGACTATTTCTTAGAAAGTCCAGAAGAAACTGAACATACAAGTGGACCACAGCCAGACAATATATCTAAAAATTAAACTCTGACCCACAATCTACAGCACCAGCCCAGAAAACCAAGCCATTATCTACAACAACCAGTCCAGGAACCCAGAATCCTACGTACAAGCGAGAGTTGCAGGAAGTCTGGCCGTTACTTCTAGCAAATGGTTCAGGAAGCCAAACAATAACCCCTGTAGCCGTCATCCCCAAACGGCCAGGACTTGATTAATAACTGACAGTCTCCCTAATTTTTGTCCCTACTTCCAACTAGAGAAATCCAACCAACCAGAGAAAGCCAAATATGCTCCCCTAACCAATCTAACCAATCATGTGGGATGCTCTAACTAGCAGCCTCCAGCTTCTCCAGGACAGCAGCCTCTAATCACACCTAAGCCTTCCTTTTTTCTATTACAAAGCTTTCCCTGGAGTCTCTGTCAAAATGCAGTTGATGGTGGCCAACTCCCTTGTTCTAGCAAACTCTGAATTACTTACTTCTTCTCATTTGAGTGGTCTCTGTTTATTTCCCAAATTAAAAATGAAGCTGTATCAAAACAAATCAAAAACATGATTTTAAAGGCTGTGGGTAAGTGTGTGATTTTCCAAAGCCTTGAACTTTAGAATAGTCCAAGTCCTAAACATAATCCTTTATGGAGATGACCTGGGTTGGAAATAAGAGTACCACAGAGAAAACTGGAAGTTTCATATCCTTTTACAATCATGTCCAAGCTCTAACCCTGTTTCACTCTCAAGCAATAAGAGGATTAGGGGACATTCCCTAGGCTGTTAATATCATCAAACGCTCTCATATTGTTTTATAAATAAACTCCAAAACTGGTTTTCTAGATTACAATAAGTAATAAATTATCATTTAGTGCCAGAGGAACAAAGAGATAATAGCCATCTCAAAGATATAAGACACCACTGAAAACCATCTAATTTGCCAACTTTGACCCTGACTACCTTCCCAGAATTAAAGGACTTATCGTCCTTCTATTTTATTCTTCAATTAAAAACGTCTGGGGAGAAGAGGCCAAAATGGAGGGGTAGGAGGATGTGGAGCTCACCTCCCCCTTGAACACATCAAAAACACATCTCCACGTGGAAGGTTTCCCACTGAAAACAAACTGGAGACTGGCAGACAGACTCCTGTACAACCAAGGCTGGAAGAAAGATCCACACGGAGTTGGGTAGGAAGGGAAGAGGAGAGATCAGGCTAGGACCTGTGCCCTTGGGAGGGGACACATAGAGGGTGGGGCTGCACAGCCTGGGAGATCCTCCCTGGGGAGTGAGTGGTTCTAACTGCATATTGGGTGCCTGAGCCCTGGGGTCCGACACCAGGAAGACAAGTCCGCTTAGCTGCTTAGAATAGCAGTGGGACTGAGAGTGGGGCTGTAAGAAGCCTAGATTCCACTCATGAAGAGTGCACAAATGCTCGCTTACTCCTGAAACAAGGTGGAGGCAGCCGATCGGAACTGCCTGGGACTCGGGAGGTTTGCCCTGGCCACCACAGCATGCGCCCCAGCACCTGCCGAGCACATGTTCCAAGTCCTCTTGCTCCGGTGCAGCTCCACACTAGGACAAGAACTGCCATGGCCGGGGAGAGTACTCAGGTGTGAGGGATGAAAATGGGTTAGACCTGGGACGGCATCTGGAAGGCGATGAGGGTGGCCATTGCTGGCTCTCAAGGAGGCAAGTCAGGAGATGTCTCAAGCTCTGACTGGCATGTTGGGATCACTCCAGTGCGTGCGCCACCCACATTAAAGCGCCCTCTCTAGCCCCACTCCTCTTGCTCCAGCACTACTCCCCTCCAGGGCAAGGTGCTGATGCTGGGAGCGAAGATAGTGCACACTTAAAAGAAATGAAACCAGCTTGTTTGTACCCAACCCGCAAGGCTTCTGCTCCAGCCACTTGGGACCCTACCCTGCCTCTAAAAGGGCAGTGTCAGTCACCATGCACAAGAGAAGCCCTGGCTGCCACCTGGCTCTGGCTCTAGACGCTCCATCTCCAGTCCCACCTGCCACCATGGTGACAGTTGCCAGAACACCCTGTGGAAAGTCATGACTTATGCTCACGTCAGATCCAGCTCTCCCACCAGAGCCACTGGGCACACACAGATTGCACAGGGATGCTCTCACACCTGGAAGGACACCTGTTCAGGACTGGGATAGGTAACTGTTTCACCTGATGTCGTAGAGACAGAGAAAGTTCAACAAAATGAGAAGACAGAGAATTTGTCTCAAATGAAACAAGAAGAAAAAACTCCTGAACAAACTAATGAAACAGAGATAAATAATTTACCAGATTAGAGTTTCAGAGCATTAGTAATAAGAATGCTAACAGAACTAGGGAAAAGAATGGAGAAAGCAGTGAAAATTTTAATGAAGAACTAGAAAACATAAATAAGAACCATCATAGCTAAGGAATACAAAAACTGAAATGAAAAACACACCATAAGGAATTAACAGCAGAGTAAACGATACAGATAAATGTGTAAGTGATCTAGAAGATAGAATAATGGACAGACATCACCCAATCAGAAAAACAAAAAGAAAAGCACATTTTTAAAAGACAAGAATTGTTTAAGGGACTTCTGGGACAATATCAAGCAAGCTAACATTCACATTATAGGGTTCCTAGAAGGAGAAGAGACAGAGAACAGAGAAAAAGAGTCTAAAATGTATTTGATGAATTTATAGCTGAAAACTTCCCAAACCTGAAGAAGGAAACAGATATCCAGGCCTGGGAAGCAGAGCATCCCTAACAAGATGAATCCAAACAGACATACAGCAAGACATGTCATAATTAAAATGGCAAAAGTTTAAGATAGAGAATTCTAAAGGTAGCAAGAGAAAAACAAAGACTCACATACAAGGGGACCCCCGTAAGGCTATCAGCTGATTTTTCTGCAGACACTTTGCAGGCCAGAAGGGAGTCACACGATGTATATCAAGTGCTAAAAGGGAAAAAGCTAAAACCTATGAGACTTTATGCAGCAAGATTGTCATTCAGAATTGAAGGAGAGAGAACCTCTCAGGCAAGCAAAATAGGAAAGAGTTCAA